CCTTGGCTCTGAGACCCGCCCCGTTCGCCGCGGCCATGGAGAAAGAAAAACCGTTTAAGTTGTTCGTGCCGCCGCGTCTGAGCGGTGGGCAGGTGTCTGCGGTCAAACCCCAGACCAGCACTCGGGCAGCGGGGCTGTGTCAGGTAAAGGCCGCCACCTGCCTCGCCTCGTGTGCTGTGGCTCTGGGGCCCGTTCCCGGGGACGCGGCGGGGAGCGGCCCTCCCGGGTGGGCCTCACACAAAGTCCTGAGCCTCTGTCCTGGAAAGCACACGCGTTCGTCTGTGAAAGCCTGTGCACCACTAATCTTCCTCTAAATTAAGATTGGTGCTGGGGGGGGAGGACCATCTTAAAGTCTAATTTCAAAGCCTTTTTTCTGTCAGAATTGAAGAGAATAATCTCCTGGAGCATCTGCTGTGTGTTTTACCTGTACTCCACTGATAGGTACATGTTTGATGTGGAGAGTTGACAACATATATGGGGTACCAGTGCCCTTACTGGCTTTGATTCGTTGGTCCCACCAGATCAGGTGTGCAGTGAAAATGTTCCGAGTCACAGGAATTCAACAAGTTATTTTTTCACGTTGAGGCTGTGTATGAAGTATGTTTAGATTCAAATGTGATATTCTGGCAGAAATTTACAAGACAAATTTCTGACTTTTAAAACACCTCGTAAAATGAAATTTTCATGTTAAAATATTATCAGATGTGTGTTAGAAGTATTCATAGGAATAAAGCAAAAAATAAGTATGATAAACTGGAATTGAAAAAAAATAATTTTGGTTAATGAGTCCTTTGCCCTGCAACCGTATACAGATGTGCAGTAGCTAATAAGTTCTTGTCATCAAAAGCTTCCACTTTGGCCACAGTGTAGTTTACAAAGCAAACTACAAAAGACAAACAGTTTGAAAAGCCACTGTGAAGTAAGAAGGAAGCAGGAGAGTTCCAAAGCCATTACCAATACTTTGGGCTTTGAAAATTGTAGTTAGTTGATTTATTAATGGAGAATTCTATTTTCACATTAGCTGTACTTTTTTCTGGGGTTTTATAATAATTTATAAATCTACCCATAAGATACTAATTTTTAAATTTGTGCAGGGTTTTAACAAATGCCCAGATGATGACTTTAATTTACCATTTGTAATGAGTGCACCGAACCGTAGTGAAATCACTGATTCAGGTAAGATTAAAATAAGCACTTACCTTGCACATTCTTTTAAAATTTTTTTAGTGGTGTTGACATTTTTCATGAGTCGTATAACAATTTCACAGCTGTAACACTGTTAAGTACAGTTCTACTGTTATTTTTTTTAGAAATGCATTGATCAAAATCTCTTCATGTTTCAGATGCGATTTCACAGCAAGTAAAACTTTGCTCTGAGGTAGATGAAGAGGTCAGCTAAGTATAAACTCTTCATATGTAACTTTGAGGTCCTCTTAATTTGTTCCCAAAACAGTACCTAAAGCCCTCTTCAGTAGATAGTTCAGGGCTAAAGGAAGTAGTCAAAGGGGAATAATAATTTTCTGTCTTCTGTTTAAAGCTGAATCACTTGGAAGAGGTATATGTGATTCAGTGAACATGCCTGGAAGTTAACCTTTAAATAGTAAGGTGATTTCCAAATTGTGGTTTTGGTTTATTCTTTCTTGTTGTTTTTCTTAAGTGCCTGGGGAGTCTGGGAATCAGAGGTGGTTTTGGTTTATTCTTTCTTGTTGTTTTTAAGTGCCTGGGGAGTCTGGGAATTTTAATCAGAATAAGATTTAGGCACTTAAGTATCTTTGAAACTGGTTCTGAATAGTCTGTTGAAAGTCAGAAGGACTGAAGTTGGAGAGTATTCTCTGGAAAACTGAAGCAGATTATCCCAATTGCCTTGTCTGGCTTTATTTTATCTAAACAATTAGTTTAGTGGAGTGGTTTTCTCAAGCACTTGATTCTTCTCATAGCATCTTTACCAACGTTTTTCTGCTTTAGTATGGCTCAATAAAGCTATTTTTTTTTTTTTTTGCAGTAGCTTCCTACATAAGAAGTGCTGTTAGCTGCAATGAAATGGAATATATTTCTTGCTGCCCTCCTCATGATTTTCCTATCACTGAGGACTAAACTTTTTATCCCTATCAGCTATTGAAGTACAGTCAAGACTGTAATGATATTGTGATACAGCCAAAAAGGGGGTGGCGTTAGGTGACACCATACGTAAAACAAACAGCAGAACTGCCCCGAGGGCCTAACGTACCCATTACTCTTGGCTGCCTAAGCCACTGGTGAAGCGCTGCTTGTACAGTGCTTTAAAGATGTTCTAACAGCACAAGGCTGGCTGGGTTTTCTTCCTGCTTTGTGTATGAGTTAACTGCAAAAATGTATTGCAGGTAGTCTTGCACAAGGTCTCTGAAGCTGCTTTTACTTAGCAGTATCTGTCAGAAGAGGAGGGAAATGGTATGAAAAACCTAATGGAAGGAATATTGGCTCTACTCATAATTCTAGCAAAACTCTCAAACTTTTGCAAAGTTCACAGCAAAACTATGAACTTTTGCTGGAGTGCAGTTATCTGTATCTTTAAGGTTATCTATTTATTGATGTCACTATTCTGAAGGCAGTAGGGCATTTTGCACTTGTATTTGTCTTGATCTGTAATGTCTGTTGATAAACACACAGTGGATGCCTAAAGACTAAAACTTTGGTTCTTGTATATAAACTTCTGTCACCATCTGTGGAAAAAAATTTACTCTTGTAAAGAGTATCTTCTATGAGATAAATATGTATCTAAAACACTATCAGTTAAATAGCATTTGAGATTAAATTGTGGAACCTGTTTTAATAGAATATAGAAACAATGAATGAGTTGTACTCAAAACTCTACAAAGAGGCGGAGAAGATCAAGTGGTGGAAACTGACGGTGGAATCAGAACTAAAGCAGAAAGAAAGAAAACTGCAAGAAAATAGAAAGATTATTGAAGCACAGCGTAAAGCCATTCAAGAATTGCAGGCCAGTATTGTACAACATTGAATATGTAGAGTAAAAAGAAAGTTCTTCCTGATCTAGTATGAAAATATTATTCATACAATTAAATATTAAAGTGTTGCAGAGGTTGAAGAAACCTGACCTGAGTCATCTTTGATTGTTGTGACTTTTGCTTTGAGAAATGGTTATTCTGAGAGGGGGTGTGCACATGTACTATGTGAATGTATGAATGACATACCTATAAGCATTTCAGTTGCTGGTGAATTATTGTTATTATTCTTCCATGCAAACTATAACAAAAGATGTCTTGGTGTGTAATATCAGATAAAACAGATTTCTATCTCCTGATGCAGAAAGTTACTTTTTCATGTGAGACTGGAGAAATGAAAGTATATTTCTAGTATATTTTTCAATAACAATGTGTTTTTGTATTTGTTCCTTATGAAATTAGTTTGAAAATGAAAAACTAAGTTTAAAACTGGAAGATGAGATATGTGAAAATAAAGATCTCTTAAAAGAGTAAGTAATACAGTCAAATTTCTGTGAAAATAATTTTCATACTGACAGCTGTGTGAGTATGGGAAGTTATGTATACCTATTAAATTGCAAAGGTTATTAGGGCATTTACATTGTTACTACTTAGTTATGCAAAGCACTATGCATTCCTGTGACAACATATTACCGTATCTTTCCCTCTTTTAGAAACACTGCTTCAAGGCATCTGTGTAACCTGCTCAAGGAAACCTGTACTCACTTCACAGAGAAGTCCAGCAAATGTAAATGTTATTTAAATTTTGATTTATGAAAGTAAATGTACTTCTGTCCTTCTCTAAATTCATGAAGGAAAAAAGCTATCATTCTGTTCCAAATACATCCTCTGGTTGAGATAAACTGTATGTGCTTTTGTGTTAGAGTGAAATTAGAAGTGAAGCTTCAGGTCTAATACACATGTTTTGTAGTGCTAAATCCAGAGGCTTTCTGCTGTCAGTGTGTGTTTGCTAAAAGCCTGGGAGCTATTTAGGTGCCTAAACACTGATACAGGTTTATGGCAGTGTAAGTGACCCTGGCTAGCCACCAGCAGCCACTGAAGACTTGTCAGCCCATTGACTTTTTACAGTCTCATCCAGACACCTTGAATATATTAAGACATATGAGTTGGGACTTTGTGCCTGTGTTGAGGCAGTAGAATCTCCTCTAGTTACCTTTCCCAGTTCTCTAACAAATTTCCATAGTTGGTGTTATCCTGTTTGGAGCAGCTACAGATTCGTAGGGAAAAAAGATCCAAACCCCAAGACACTACAAGTAACCAGCATTCTTCTCACTAAAATGACCAAGCCAAGACAGTTGAATAACATAAGGGTTTTAATTCTGGAGGTTTTAGAATATGTTCTTGAGATTTTATTCTATATGAAATTCAGAAGTGTTATTATCTTTAAAATTTTACTAACTTGATCCTGGATACTTAGGAAGTGGTGATTTCTTTGTAGTCTTGCTTCTCCAAACACCTGTGTAGAGATGTACTGTACTTTGATAGCTGTGTTTCTTCCTGTTCTTCTCTAAAACTGTTTTCTTAGGGGAAAAATAATTCAACTACAAGAAGAAAAGAAGTCAAAGAAAAAGATGGAGTATTGTTACAATTCTGAAATTATAGTTCTGTGATCAGGGTTGTATCTGCTGATGGGAAGAAGCTTGGTGCTAAACCTTTTATTATAGTTTTTAAAACGCTAACATTTTTGATAGTATTAACATTACTGAATATTAATGTATCAAAATCAGTGTAGCTATAGACATTGATCCAGAATTACACTATTCAAAGAAAAAGTGAGATTGGGAAGGCTGAGATTTCTTGATGTTTCAATGGAATATAAATTTTTTCCAGATTATAACTTTGGACACCCTATTTCATAATGATTTTTTTAATAAGAGCCTCCAATTCCTTTTAAAATTTATTGTGTTGTTTAAACATAATGGCTTTGACAGCCTGCATTCTTTTTCAAAAGGAAAACTTTATGCTACATTCTTACTTTGGTAGATGACCATGAAAGAGAAGAAACAAGACAACTATACATGGAACTTAATAACAATGTGGAAGTAAGTGACATAGCTTGTTGAAAGGCTTAAATGTGATCTGAGTTATGTGGTTACGCTGAGATATCAGTTGCATGTTTTGAGATGCTATTTGTACAAATAATGTTCTCTTATAAAGCGATTAGAACTCATATGTGATGCAGGAAGTCAGGTTTTCAGTCTGTTTTCAAGGGTTGTTTTTTGTATTGTATTGGGCACTTTCATTGGATAAAACATGACGGTGTTTGGTGTGTAGATCCCTATGATCTGTGTGATCTGCTTAGTATGAGGTGACTGCCGTAACTTCTGTCTTCTTTTTGTACTCTGTATCACCCAGCTGGTAGTTTCACAGAGTGGATGAGGCTGGAAGCATTCTCTGAAGAACTTCCCCTGCTAAAAGCTAGAACAGGTTGCATAGGGCTGTGTTCAGTCAGTTCTGGGGTCAGGTGTGTTAAGGTTATTCTATTAGATCATTTTATTTAATATAAAGTAAAGATGAACGAAGAAAACTAATTTCAGTTTTGTGTGACACGGAACAACAAAATTTGCTATGGAAATTGGTGATTTTCTGTGGAATAAAAAGTATAAAATGTGAATGTTCCTTGACTTAAAGAGTTTTTACCTTTTGAATTTGTAAAAGTGCAGTCTTGCCAAATAAATTAATTCATCATATTTTTGTTATTAATTATTCCGGTGTAGAAATACAAGGCATCATTGGGAGTGATTAACTTGATATTAAGCAGAGTCAGAGAGTACATGATGTAGCAACTAAGAAAAGCACAACTCCTCTGTTGTGTTAGGGATCTGCAAACATGGCCCAGTAAAAATACTTCATCCTTGAAATTGTTTAGATCTTGAGTCTTAAACTGCCAAATTTGAATAACTGTAACATTCTGTTAACTCAATATGTTTATGCTTTGAATTTTGTTTTTAAGAAAACTTCTCCTACAAATATGAACAAGCTTGTAACACTGTTTACAGCCTGTAAACAAAACTCTTCATTACTGAAAGTACTTAGCTTCATATGAATGCATATATTTAATTTTATTTTTAGAGAATGATAATGGCGTTTGAAGAGCTTCGTGTGCAAGCAGAGAACACCAGATTAGAAATGTGTTTCAAATGTGAGAATTCTGTTGATTGTGTTTATGCTGCAGGCTTAAAAATTTTGTACTTCACAGATTTTATTGCATGCAGTTTCAGGCCAGAAATATACAAAGTACTAGAACGATGACCTGTTAACACTGTTGACAGCCTGGGCCCTCTTTTATTCGTGCTGCCTGCTATTAAATGTCTGGGCCTGTTTATTGTTTTTCCACTGGGTCAGATTTGAAACTGTTTTTCAAATAGTCACTCAAAGTGTAAGCTTTGTTTGTGAAGTACATTCTAGAGATCACTACTTATTTTATGTAGTTGGTTTAAGTGATAATGCATTAGTGTATAGCTACAGGAATTTTAATTAACTATTTGCTTTATTTATGTCACTGTGCGCCTGTTTCACTGTTACATGTGTTTCTCTTAGTTTCTTATAAGAAGCTATTAAGCAATACACGGAATAATGGACTAGTTCTGTGGAAAGCTGGTACCAACATTAATTTGTCTGATTAGAAAATAATTTCAAATGTGACCTCAAGAATTACTCTTTAGGAAACAAAGTTGTACAGCTGTACAATTATAAGCAATCTTAAATTGGAATTTAATTTTAACTTGGAGTATATTTTAGCTAGTATATTAACTATGTGTATTACTATATCTCAAAAGTAAAAGAAGAAGCAGAAAAAGTGAACAAGTTTGAAAAAGAATGCAGACTGGAAGTCAGCATGAAGGAAAAGCAGGTTTGCTCAGTTTTACAATCTAGTATGTACAGCTCTATTTTTGAAACAAATCTTGTGGTTTCTTTATTTGAACTGTCTTGCTTTTGTGACTTACTGATCTATCAGATGAAAATAATTACTTTTAAAGTGCTTGGTTGTGTGTAAAATATTTCTATTTTGGAAGAATGGAAATTGATATTGCAGATGGCCTTTTGATCTTGTGTTCCTTCTGTGTTATTTATTTGGAAAAAAATGTGAATTAGGCTGTTGTATTGTAACAAGGAACATCTTAGTGTCAGAATTTAAAAGCACAATTAAACACTGAATACTCTCTCTTCTCTGTACGTATGCTTGCCTTTGTAAAAGTGGCTTGTACAGAGCATAAAATCAGCAAAGCAGTCATCACTCCTCATAGTTAAGGTGCAGTTCACATCTGGGAAGAAGGATTATAATGCATGTCAGACCCCATGCTGGTAAGAGAGTTTAGGAATCTGAGATTAGAGTAGGCTTTTTGTAGTGGTGATGAGGTAGCCGTTATGGAAGACTGATTGAGTTGAAGAAATTAATTGTGATTAGAGTTTTTTGCTTGTAAGCAGGAGTCTGAGAAGCAGAGCGTCTGTCTGTATCTGGGAAGGTCGAGGCTTGTTGGTTTTTCTGAGAATGGATGTGACATTGAAAGGTGCAATGAGTGTTTCGGGGCATCAGTAAAAAGGACAAAAAAAACCCCAGCTGGAGCTGTATTTAAGTTGGATTCTGCTAACTTTAGTGATGCTCCAATATCTTTAGTCTGTTGGAATTCATGTTTGGATTTTGAACTGCAGAGCTCTTTCATCCGCAGTAGTATGACTTGATCAATAGTTGGCTAAGACTGACCACCTTATTTAACTTGAGTGCCAGCAATGTGTATGCTAATCATTCATGGTACACAGATGACAATGAAAACCTGTCTTTTTTTCTAGACTTCTTTATGATATTATTTTAATTTTGTTAGATTTCAGTTCTTACCATACAGAGTGATGAAAAAGATGATATCATAAGAGACATCAAGACTCAGCTGCAGGAATCCAAAAATAAGATTACTGATTTGGTAGAAGCAAAAAGTAAGAGTTCTCTCTGCTGTGTTAAAATGTAATTGGTTAGAGAAGTATAGGAACCAGGGTCGCTATAACTTTATCCTGTTACTAGTCAGCAGCAGAATTTTGGAGCCTTGCAGGCCATGTTTTTGTTTGGAACAGAAGCTGCTGATGTGGGATCAGGACTAATAGTGTAGTATGCGTATGTATAAAATCTGTGCCCTTATTTCATACTAAAGGTTTTGTCTTTAGGCTTAGGCTACACCCTGGTTTTGTATTGACATGACAGCTTCTTTATGAGGGATTTTTCTTTTCAATAAACTCTAGGGGGAACATGTTATACTACTGTAAAGGTGCCATATACCCTGTTGTTCCTTTTCTGTAACAGAAGTAAGTTTTACCAGGATGCTGTATAACTCTGCCCCTGTTCTGGAGATTTCTCCTCTTTCAGTTGGGCTTGTATAGTAAACATGACATGATAATAGATAAAAATGGTTTTTTCCTGGTTATTGGATTGATTTGTTTCAAATCAAGTTAGTGAAGGGTCTTCAAAGTACAATATTTGTTCAGTAGTCCATCAATAGTAGCCTTTTTCTGTGTTGAAAAAGACATTTTCACATCTTTGCCAAATAACTCCCTAAATGTTACACATTTCAAATGGAATCTTATTTGTAAATAGGCGAAGGTTTGACTGGGACTGGAAGTGTAACTATTTTTGAAGGGTTCTTTTTTAAGGGTGAGTCAAGCAGTGAGAGCTTTTGTAGACTTTGGGGAAAACACATTGCTTGTTTTGCAAACTTAGAGTCAGGTGCCTCTTAGGAAACTTACTTTTCAGAACTTGATTTTCAGTAATTTTAAGCCATTTATATTAAAAAATATTTATAGTATAGGATGCAAGTACCTTTATTCTTTAGAACTGAGGCAATTTTCAGCCTCCCCTTCCCCAGGGAGTGGGGAGGAAAGTTTGTGTTGTTTTTATGCCAGATACATATAAGTGGCTGCGTTTTGTTAAATTTTATAAATACATATAATTTTATATTTTGGTTACTGTTACTTAGTAAGTTGAAGAATCATCTTGGATGCTTTGTCCTTGATATATAACTTGATTAAGTTATAGGAATGTATTTATCTGTAAAATAAAAATGGAAGCATTTTCTAGTAAATATCCTATCTTTCTTAAATGTAAGCCTATCTCTTTTTGCTTAGGACATGAAGGAGAAATGTTAAAGGAATCCCAGATCAATCAAGAACGTTTGAGGGCAGAACTGGAAGAAGCCAAAGTTTCATTGCAAAAAACAGAGGTACAGCTTGCTTATAGTTTTCTAGTATAAATAGATGAGTAATTTAATAAATAATTACTGATTCTTTAGATATGAAACAATTGTATCTGTTTGTTGCAAAACATGTTTAGAAATTCTGTAATTTTTTTGTAGGTTACTCAAAAGAGCTTAGAAAGTGAATTACAGAGTGCAGTGAAAGCATTAATTCAGGTCACTGGAGAAAAAGAAGCACAGGTGGAAGAATGTGAAAAAACTAAGGCTTTACATGCATCCCTGAGAGAGGAGTTTGAGACTTCGATTTCCAATTTGGAAAGCTTGCTGCAAAAAGAGCAAAAGAGGTAAATTAAACAGTTTAAATGCAAAATTATTGGTAAAATATTAGATTACTGAGCTGTTGGGAATAAAGCTTATGTTTAAGATCACATCTGTGATCTGGTGTAATTATATTTTTTTTTTTAATCACTAGTAACTTTGTCCTTCACCTGGCTGGTTATTTAAATTACTAGCTCTTGAAGATGGTTATGCTCTTTGATTTTGTGTGGATGCAGCTCTTAGTTAAGAGAGCAGTAACCTCATTTAGTATTTGACAGTTCTTTATTAATGGAACATTTAGCAAGGAAGATGTTCTTCCGTATGTGATAATAGTTCTGTTTAATGCCCATGCCTATTATTAATGTATTTCAGGTTTTCTGTAGTTTTAAAAAATTATGTATTTGTCAAAGAACCTGATAGCAACTAAAATCAGCCTTTCTAAAAATGAGAACAGAGCAGTGAAGTTGTATTTAAATACATTATCACAGCTGAGTTTTGCAAGAAACAGTGATTTTGGGTACGTGGCATTAAGGTGTCTTTTAAGTCGTTGCAGTTTATGACAAATCCAAGAACAAAGGGATATGAAATTTGTTTTTGTGACACACTGGTCTAAATGCAGATAACTTAATGTAATTTTTTTTTCAGTTGTGCTGGTTGTTATTGGTCTATAAGAAAGCAAAAGATTTCCCCCCTCCCCTGACTTTAATAATTCTATTTTTAAGAAATACAGATTTATGTTTGTATATATTTGTTTACTTTTATGTCTGCTGTTCCAAAGTTGTAAAAGTGAAATTTTATACATGTTGCAGGCAGATATATTGCCTGTCTGTTGAAAGGCAAATGTTCTTAAAATGCTTGTGGTAAGACTTTGTCTTATTGTGCTTTAAGTTTCAAGTGTAGTGCTTTGTACTGTACTTATAGTTACCATTTTCTTAGGTTAGAGAAATATGAAGATGAGTTAAAGCTACTTACCTTGGAGCTCAGAAATAAGTCTGCTCAACTGGGTAAGATCTGTAGAAAGAAAGAAAACAAGTTAGGCAGTAATAAAAGTGTTTTCTGAAAATAGACTGTGCCTATTGCATGGAAAAATGGCTTTACAGTTTTTACCCTGTTCCTGTTAGGAATGCTTACATTTATTTTTCCTCATTTGACTCCCTTTTCTTTGTTAGTCATTGTACCTGGCAGCAGTCAAACAGCCGTGCTGTGCAGACCTCCAGTAGTAAGCCCATACATGTATGGATTCTCCTGGAAGTCATTCTAGTCTCTCTGCACTCTTCCAGTTAAGACTGATAGCACTACAGACCTGTCTGTTTCTTTCATATGCTGTGATTTCTAGATATGTGTTTTAGCCCCCAGAGTGAGATCTATCTTTAGCATTGTTTTCCCAGTGTGTAGTGTATGCCTCTAGTCCTGATATGATAGGTGAGAAATATAGTTTGATGTCCTTGTATGTGTTGAGGGCATCTAAAGATAAATATTCAGAAATTAACTGATAATGCTTGTCTAGAACAAGGTAAGATGTGACCTGTGAGAATTCCAGAACAAAAATGAGTTTGGTATCCAGTCCTTGCAAAAAGATAGCAGTGGTGGGAATGTGCACATAGGAAACATTTTGAAGTTATTAGTAAGTGGCTTCCTATTTTGGCATATCGATGTGAATATCTTCAGTAGTCTAGATTGGTTGTTTTTCTGGAAAAATGCAGATGCATCAATACTTGGAGATTACTCCTTTGTAAACAGTCTTACAGTCTGTGGTTTATTTGAAGCCATGATTGTGGAAAACATAATAGGCTCTGAATTTTATTTAAGACAAATTATGAATTTCTCTTCAGATACATATTTGCTAATGTATTTCTGAATCATGCTTTTAACTCTACACTTAGATTAATTTAGCTTTATAAGTTCTGAAATCAATCCAACAAGTTTTGAAAATTGGGTACTGCAAAGGGATAAATGCTTTATGTTGTCTGCTAAATATGTAAAATTATTTTTATTCAATTAACTTTACATGTGCTGTAGAAGAGATGACTAAACTGAAATGTGACAAAGAAATGCAACTTGAAGAGCTGTCAGAAACACTGGTAAATTTTAATTTTATTAGTCTCATGGCATTTACTTTCCATATGAAGTCTCTCTTGCTTATTAAGTATCTTAAATGCCATATATAAACACTATCTAATATGCCTTAATGTTGCTACTAAATTTTCTTACCTGTCTTTTAGATTATTTCATTGTTTTCTTTGAAGGACTTGATTCTTTCCACTGTTTTTCTTGTTTTGTTCTGCTTTGTTTTAATTTTCCTTGTCAACATTTCTGGTCATTTCCTTTGTCATTTGCACCTATTCAAATGCCATTCCCTCTGGACATGAAGATTGCCCATTTTTAGTTTTGCCTGGTACTCACTCTTCCATCATTCTGAACCTTTTGGAAAAATACTTTTTTTGTGTGTGATTAACATAATCTCAAACCTTGTGCGTACCTCTCATAAGAAATTTAACGCTGAGGGATCAACTAATTTTTGACAGTAAAGATAATTCCTCAAGTTGCTAGCTTTCTTCATAATAATCTTCAAAAAATTAAACATTGTAGAAAGCTTACATCATTTTAGTGTTTAAAGGAATAACCAAGCTTCTGGCACCACCCAGAAAAGGCAGTGGAGTTTGTGAAAAGGTTGTATGACAAAATGAAGAAACTAATAAGCAATTTCATAGGTTTATTACATCACAAATTGTGATTATTTTGCTGTTTGTGGGATGTTATGTCCTTCATATTGCAGTGTTTATCTAGAAAGCATTGTGTGCTGTGCTGATGTATGTCCCTTGTCAGAGAAAACATTTCAGAGCCCACAGAAAGGTCTTTGGGGTTATAACACGCTGTTCCACATATCCCCATTATACTGGGTGTTCTTTTCTTACTTACAGGGAAGTTTCCTGAGGTAAAATTAGCTCTGGTCTCTGTGAACCCTACTGAACTGTGACACAGGCCCATTTTCTGTTACAGAACTCTAAGCTATATGAAGTACACTTTTAGTTCAGGATTATTTTAGCCAGGATCTTGTATTTACAAGCCTTAACAAGAAACTGCATCAGCTAAAGTAAGATAGCATGAAACCATGAAGCATAAACACATATGTTTGTTCCTTATATACCGGGTATTGAATTTTCTAAACTGAGTTTCACAAATGTTCTGAAACAGGGAAAAGTTGAAGGACTTCTAGTGAAGAAGAGCGAACTTGAGGCTACTGTAGAAAATTTGCAGGAGAGAGAAGAAGAAACAAAAAATGTTCTACAAATCAGAGAGGTCTGAATAAAGGGTGATAGTAACATGTTTTTATAAAGAGTTTTGTTACACATTGTCACTTGTACATAAGAAATATCATATAGTCAGACTAGTGCTCCACCCAATGCACTGCTCTCCTTGAGACAATGACAGCAGAAGATACTAGTAGTAGAGGAGCCTGACTATTATCTGTGGTGGGTTCTCCTTACATTCCTGCAGTAGCTGTATTAAGGATATTTGAGGACACATCCCTGTCAGTTGCCTTTGCTGTCAGTTTATGGACTCGATCACGTTCACTTGTCTCACCTGTTTTTGAACCTCCTCAAACCATTTGCCTCCATAGCCTTCTGTGATAAATTCCAGAAGTTTGTTATGTGTTGTGATTAAAAAGTAATCTCTCCCTCCCTCTCTCCCTCTTCCTTCCCACCTCCACCATCAACTGCCTTCCAGTACCTGTGGTATCAGTATATCACCAATTATTTGGAGGAAACA